ACCCCATCCGTGGCGGTGGTTCTGTGCGCAGATGTTATTCGTTAGCCTCAGTGTTAACCATACACGCTCGTTTTATCTGCCATCCGTGGCGGTGGTTCTGTGCGCAGATGTTATTCGTTAGCCTCAGTGTTAACCATAACGCCCTTGTGAGTTGTGACCTTGAACGTCCTTCCAGTGATTTCGCATTGCGGCCGGCAGAGACGAAGTTTTGCCTCCCAGTTGAGACGCCACTTCTCAACTAGGAAGCAAAATTACGTCCCTGTCGGCCGCAATGCGCCATCACTGGAAGTGCGTCCAAACTAAGATGTACCTGCTGATGCTCAGGTACCATTCGTTCATCAATTGTTGGTGTTTCAATACATTGTTTAAATGCATTCCTTATTTTACAATTGGTCATAATATTATCACATCACCCCGCATTATCAGGGGTGGTACTTTTACACCGGGGCTTGATTTTACCGGGGAGTTACTCCGGGGTAAAATTATCAAAAAAAGGAGTGCTTTTTGGCATGGCAATATTATTCCCAGAATGAGAGTAATTTTAGTGTTAAGTTAATAAAATTATCATCTGGTGTAATTTTATCCAAAGATAGCATACTTTTATCCTCCGCCATAAAATTACTCCCTAGCACGAATAATATAAGCGTTTGGATACTAAATATATTCTATATGCTAGTTTTATTCCCCAAAACTCCCCATTTTAGGCGCTTATGCCAGGTCATAAAATTATTCGATTGCAGGAGTGCTTTTTGGCATTCTAAGATTAGAAAATGGGGAGTAAGTTTTTTCAGTGTAGATCATAAGTGAAGAGTAATCATCGAAGCTAAATTTATCAAATTTGATATTTTTTTAATGGGCAGAACTCTCAAGTCCCATAGGTACAGATGATGTTTCCGCATAGCCAAAAAATAATCCATAAATATCTGCAAGCTCTTCTGTGGTCTTATCGTCGAAGTCTAGTCAACAAACCTCAGGACAACAGCTCCGCTTCCATAACAAGTTTTTAAAACTGTTCAAATAGGCCATTCTCACGGAGGCTATTTTTGTAACACGATGTAGGACGTGCCTCACCCCCAACCCCAACAGGAGAAGAGTTAGATATATCCTGAAATAGGAAGGGTGCGGGAATTCGTGAATTGCTGATCTCAGCTCCGCTTTAGGTTCAAAAGGACAAGTTCCCCACTCCAAACACGTCTGACTTTGACAATGCTATGGCGTCACTAAGGTAGTATCTACGACTCGAGTATGACCGTAACTAAAGGTAGCCACTAACCACACTGTGCGAGAGGTACTCGTATTGTTCAACAACAGAACACAATGTCTTCCTCAACATTCCCCAGGCGCCATAGTTGGCGCATCAACTGTCTTCTTGTTCTTGTTGGATTAGGGCGCGTAGCTGCGCATCAACTGTCGAGCAGCCGCCCCGCAAATAGCACGTCGGACACAGCTAGGCGGGAAGGAACTTACCTCAGTGACGTCACAGATCAGCTGATTGCCTCCGATCGGCGCAGGCCGGTCTCCCATCGCCGTCTGCGTCCGCCATTTATCACAGATCCGACAGCTTCCTGCAGTTCCACCGCCAGATTATAATTTAGCAGCTTCTTCCGGTGCGCGTTTTCAGGCCTGTCCGGCCATTCGATCTCCTAACAATCGTTTCCGCCGAGCCGGAGCGGTGTCCAAGTCGTCGAAATCGGCCGATCGACGCAGCGAGTCGGCGTGATCGAATTATCGTGACAAATCTGTGTGCCGTCGGCGCGGCCGACTGCCCCGGGCAGGACAGCCGGCTGTGAGCTGACACGGCTAATCTGGCCGTGTCAGTCCTGCCGCGTCTGACGGGCGCCGACCCGCTCTGGCAACGGTGGTCGCCGTTCGTCGCCGCAGCCACCTCGGCCAGATGCTCCGGCAAGAGGTATATAACTACAGCTTCTTCCGTTACCTGTAAGTGCTTACCTACTTGGACGGACCGTTCTTCTGCGTATAGCGAAACACAGCACCAATAGACAAGATATCTTGACATACGCGAGTCCTCAGGCAGTTACAACCGGAGCAATATGAGATTCTGTAAACACGAATTGAACGTAGATCAGTGAGCGGACCTCGTTCTTTTTCCACTTCCTTTATCTTTGATCCAACTCTTATCAAGAGCTTTGGCTTGCTTTTTTTTGCAAAACAAGTTTGAATGTTGGTACGATGGCCTCAGATGAAGACCAACATTGACATTGATGTCTGCTGGAATTAAGGAAAAACAACTATCGGACAAGTTGCACAAAATTGCCTAACATTGAAATAAAAACAATAGAAGAGTTACGTAACGCGTGTGTAGTGTTGTTCTTCAGATGTGGTGACCAGACTTTGTTTCGGCTTATCGTAATGGAGGATGGTACAGCTACAGCCGCGAGGTCAGCCTGCGTAGCGTCCGATACGCCGCTACAAATCTACTGAGGCTCTGCCGCGGCGCTATCCGCCGGATATTGAGTCTTCAATCACACAGTCGGTACCATCGGATATACGCCCAACACGGATGTCGGGATCAAGACTATACGGAGGAGCTGGCCTTAGCTCCGGCTCTCCGCGTCTCTAATAAAAAGATAGTGACCTCCAGCAGAGCCTACGGGATTCAGTGCCGTCGCAATACTTACATATGCTCGCAGAGAGCACAGATGGGAAATTATATCGCCGAGAAACAGACACTGAACGTCGGCCGTATACATGCTCGAAAGCAAAGTATAGTTACCTTTTGAACTTGGCGGCGTTGCCCACGACGATGCTCTCCATGTTTCTGTTGCCGTTCATTCTTATCTTGAAAAAAAAAATGAACAACAAAATTCAAAAACGAAAAAATAAAGGTGATTGACGTCCACCGGTTTGCTTACCTTTAGCGGAAGCCTAAGCACCACCCACTAAGTCCGGTGGTTCACTGTCAACTGATGATGCTCGCGAGTGCGGCCGCCCAGTCTCGACAGCCCGGCTCGGGTGAGAGGTCACGTGACCAGCGCCCCGGGCGATGGGCCACGCAGCGGCTCAGCACGCAGCGACCCCGCGCCTCTGAGCCAGAGTCCAATCAGGACAGTTTGGTCACTGATCAAAGTCAAAACTAACAAAAATTTTACCAAATCACCAATAACAAAGCCTATAATTCGAACGCTTTTACACTAAATAAAAACATTTTATCTTCTAAACAAGATAAAAAACTAACAAAAAAAAAACTGACCACAGTTGGCTGATTTTGTATCGATGACATTATTCATTTAAACATCCATACCGATCTATGATACCTATCCTACTTTTCTGTGTCCATCTGAATAAGGAGCTTTAACTACTATGGACTGTTTGAAGCACACGATGTTAAACTTATAAACCGTGTATTGAAAACACATTTCATAATAGTTTAGAACATAATACAAAAGGTAAATGTGTCTTATCGCCAGTCTGCTGGAAGCCGTTTCAATCTTACACATGCGTAACGTCTAAAATATTATGTAATTTGATGCCGTATGCACGATAGAGTGTCCTCGTCCGTTGTACGCTATGACAGAGCCTAATGTGGTCCTGAAGACAATAGTATGGAACCGATTAAAAGTAAACGTGTGCCAAGATATAAAACAACCATTATTTGGATCATTCTGGTTCCCATGTATTCGGAACTTGCGTAACGCCAAGCCAAGAAAACTGAATTATGGATGCTAAGATTTCGTCCAATACGGCACTCAATTTGTATATATGATTTGCTGTTTTTTACGATAGTAATAGGATAGCGAAATGCACTATGATACAACAGTAGGTAGAGATCTCATATTAAAAAAAAAGATGTTAACATGATTTTATATATGATACCTCGTTAGGCGGCACGGGCGGACATCGATAGCAGCGCCTCTATCGGTCACTAGGGAAAGCTGGGCTGTAAGCGACGAAATACCGGCTGAGTTGTCACACGTTGAATAGGTTTATAGACATCCGTCTTGTGAAAAAGTTGAACTTTTGCCTTCAATATTTCTACAGGCAATTTTAGAAGTGTCTTCACATAGATTACAACACCGTTAAGATTATTGTATTCACTTCAAGCCTTCCCTATTGTTCTTGATGATGCGGGAACTATTTCTAATTAGTGTTTCTAGCTTAAAAAAAAACATATTGTGCAAACAATGAAAAAAAACATAGATGGAAGATTTTAAATGCAATTTTCTCTAGCAATTAATGGTAAATTCTCTACAGATCAAGGAAAAGATGCATGCTAACTGATAATTTAAAGTTCTTGGGGCAGTTGTTTTCTTCTTTTCTTACGTCGCCCCAATGGCCGCGAATACACTTGCGATAACGCCTATCGTACCTATTTCATCCCGAATTCCTATTTTAACTTTCCATATTACAGAGACGGTAAATGTAGTTTCAAATGCATATTGCGAGCTACTTTTGACCTTAGCTCTTTTTATTGGTAATATTACTAAGTGCTCGAGCGAGGAACATATTGAATATAATTAGATAAATAAAAGAAGTTGACCTTTTCCTCGACATCAAAAATGTAAAAAGCCGAATAATATATTAAAAAAAAAAACGGTGAGCTTTCGGCCACTGGCCTTTATCAAACCAACGTGATAACAATGGTAAAAGACGATCCTGTGAATAATCTGTGAATAATCCTGACGCCAAATCTGTGACGCCAAATCTGTGAATAATCCTGTGAAAATGGCAGACAGATTATTCACAGGATCGTCTTTTAACATTGTTATCACGTTGGTTTGATAAAGGCCAGTGGCCGAAAGCTCACCGTTTTTTTTTTTAATATATTATTCGGCTTTTTACATTTTTGATGTCGAGGAAAAGGTCAACTTCTTTTATTTATCTAATTAGCTCTTTTTACATTAATTTCTTAGCCTACATATACTTTATAGCACAATGTGGAACAGATATGACCATGGTATAAAACATAAGTCATGTAGTTCTTGTTTTTCTGGGCATATTCCAATTGCAGTTTTGACCTGAAACGTTAGCCTTGTCATACCTGAAGCTTATAAGCATTTATATTTTGTTATCCAGCATCATGCATAGCAGATGGGTACATGGTTACATATAAAAGTTGGGCAAACGCCAACTGTACACAGGCAGCCCTCATCACCACGCACGTCGGTAAATACGAAAATGCGGGATGCCGGCGCACGATAAGCGATTTTCATACTGCCAGTCCCACACGGCTGTTTTCATAGCGCAGAGCGGCCACTGTATACCAGTCACTTGGGTCTGTGCGAGAGCGCAGGCTGACAACGCGACCTCACCACGCTCGGCACCATACAAATGAGCGGTATTTACAAGGCTGAGTCATTCTCGATGTAGTACATTCGCTCCTAGCTCACTCACCCCACAGGATTTTCACTCCCTGTTCACCCAGAATACAGAGTTTTTGCCCCCCAGCACAATCACTCTCAGTTCCCCTGCCCTTCAGGGTGCTCGCTCTATTCTCCAGGGTTCTCAGTTCTCATTCTCAGTTCGCCGCCCTTCAGGGTGTTCGCTCTCTACTCCAGGGTTCTCATTTTTCACTCTCAGTTCCTTTGCCCTTCAGGGCGCTCACTCTCTGCCGGCGCTTTATCGCTGGTCAGTATTTCACCGATCGGTAGTTAGTTCCGGCTCCTGCTGGAGGGGACCCTATGAACCCCCTCGGTCGTCTGGCCCTGGTTCCTCCAGCGGGGAACGCTCCGGACATCCTCGGTCAGCGGGCGGTCACCTCCAGACTGACTGGTGAAGCAGCAGCGAGCTGGCGGCCGCAACAACGCGCCACTTTTGCCACACGCTCAGTGCGCCGGCCTCGTCTGCGGAGACAAAGGGGTGGTGAGTCAATGGCGAGCCAGTGAGTCTGGGCTCGTGACAGGGTGTTCGTATATGAGTTACAGCACAAACGCGGGTATGTACCTTTCACCCATGTGCGATTATGAACAAAATAGCCAATAGTTTCTTATAGTCAGGGGAAGGAGGCCCAATTTTGGGCCGAATAACGCAAAATTGGGTAGAGCTTAGCAAAGGGTGGTTTCTGGGACAAAAATGACCGCTGAACCCGAATCTGACCGGTGCGCACCTCTAACTAATGTTGCACCACTTCCAGAGCACGTGCAACTGCGCAGTTCTTCTTTTTTGAAGAATGGTTCCCTTTTTATATATTTTAAAATAAAACTTGTCGTGTAGTTGTGTTGTATTCCAAAACTTTAATATTATAGTTAAAGTTCATTGCATAAATGAAAATTTTAGTTAACGCATATCGCAGACAATCTATGACGTCACTGTGACGTCATTTATTCGTAAATTGACGAGAAAATGAGATGTGACAACAAAACATTTAACTTTATTCACAGGATACGCTCATTGGCGGGTTTAAAATGCATTGAGCATGCTCAGAAAATATCTCCCCGTTGCAAAAAGTAAAAATCGTCTGGATGGAGGTACCATTTTGGCCTACAGGGGGCGAAATCCGCGGAGCGTGCGTTTTTACCCCAAATAGTTTTTGTGCAATAACTTTTGATACAATGCTTGCATGTCGTCCATTTTACCATCGTTGTGATTCTCTCACCGAGACGCATCGAATAGTATGCAAATTGGCATATTTTTAATTGACCGAATCCTCAATGTAATCTGAATAAAATGACAAATAGCAAAAATTCGGGTATATTCGATCACAGATCTTTGTTGACAAAGATCTGTGATCGAATATACCCGAATTTTTGCTATTTGTCATTTTATTCAGATTACATTGAGGATTCGGTCAATTAAAAATATGCTGATAATCATCAATATGATTTTCCTCACTACGCTAAACTCTCTTAAGTATGCAAATTGGCTTTGATTGGTTAAGATTATATTTTACCGCAGTTCATGGGCTCAGGTCGATTATCACGCTAGTAAAGGTTATGACCTGACTGGAAATGGTCATGTAGTTTACCAATCGCTTTGGCCGATTATCAAGATAATCGCATGGAAAATGCTTTCATTGTTCTTATGTGGTTTGATCAAAAGCTATAGCTGAAAAATTGCTGATGACGTTTTCAGGACGCCACATGACGAAATTCAAAGTAAGGTATAGAAGTCGTTCATACATATATGTGTTGGCGCCGCAAAGCATTCGTAAGGCATTGTATGCTTGCGAGATTTTAGAATTAGATGTGTTCTTTACAGGCGTAGTTTTAGTTTATTATGTTGGCATACGTACCTAATAAGGTGGGCGTAAATTTCGTCACAGAGGGTTTCACATGTGTTATGTCCCAAGTTCTTATCAATGTCTTGTGGTAATTCATGTTCTTAGGCGTCACATACCCGAGCATTGAAGAACACGTAACTACTAACCGAAGAGAATTTGATTCTGGTTGGTTGTATTTATCTCTTTTGGTAAATACATAGGTATACACACACATGCACAGGCGAACACACATAATGTAGCACGGCTACTATCAGGAGGCGTTTGGCTGCCGGCCGCCGGCACGGTGACTCTGTGCACCCTGGGCGGTGGCCTTCGCCCAGGACGTCTGCCTCGTCCATCCAGCGGACGCGTCTGGTCGTGATGATACAATATGTTCCGTCCCATTCTGTACAGTACACGCCACGCGGCATACGCACATAGGTAGTATCCCGAGTGCTTGGCACCGCCGTTAAGTTGTACGACGCCAACCAGTCGGTACGTGAAGTCGCCGGCCAGGTCGACGGAGCAGAGCGACTGGTCGTTCTGACGCAGGACTCGGATAGATGCACCTGTTCCGGTGCGTCAGCCGGCTCTCCCTTCTTCTTCCGCGCACTGCCGGCCGTGCCCTAGGGCGCGGCGCACCGGGGCTGGTCCACAGGTGGCGTGATCCGCCCCACTCGGTCGAGGAACTCTGTGACGTATTTAGCCGGCCCCGAGAGCACATCCTAGAGGGTGGGGAGCGGCCCCAAGAGCCAGGTTCGCGTTCTTGCGCGGCCAGGCACTCGCATAGCAGGTGCACGACCGTGTCCTCTTCGCTGCACTGTCCGCAGAGAGAGCTGGTGGCCAGGCCAATCCTGAAGAGTGTGGCTCGGACCAGGGGTGAGCAGCCGCTGCGGATCTGCGAGACAGTGGTCTGTCCCCATCGGTCGAGGTCGTCGTGGCCAGGGGTGTTCTCCGGATGTGGTTGATGCTTGGAGCGATCGAGGGTGAGCCGGCCGGCCCAGTGTCTGATGGCGATGCGCGCACAGGCCAGGTCAACTGGGATCCGACGCTGGTCGCCTGATGTTGCCGCGATGTTTGCTAGGCGGTCCGCTTCTTTATTACCCTCGACCCCCGCGTGGCCCGGGATCCACTGGAGACTGATAGCTCTGCCCCCGGCCGCGGCAGAGTGCAGGAGAATCCAGATGCCCTGTGTCAGGGCCGATTCCTGCGCTGCTGGGCCTCGGCTGAGCAGTTGGAGGCCAGACAGGGAGTCCGAGCAGAGCAGGACAGAGCGAATGGCAGCGAGCGTGCAGTCCCAGGAAACATTTTAACGCCTCCGACATCGCCGCCAGCTCCGCCTGCATGCTGCTGCATACGACTTCTGCCGGTATGGTACATTTGATCTTGCGTCCCTCACGGTGCAGTTCGAGGAGGGCTCCTCCGCCGCCTTTCTTGGTACCGTCTAGGGCAGAGCCATCAGACCAGATTGTGAGGTCTTGATTTGGGTAGGCGGCCAGGGCCTTCAGGGTTGCAGTCTTCCGTAATTCTGGTGGGTCAGTCCTCTTGATAGGTTTCGGAAGCTGTAAGCCGAGGTGGACGTTGGTGTTGTACTGCTTCCACGGCGGTTCTCCCTGGTGCAGGGTTAGTGGGGCTACGGGCACTCCACCCAGTCCAGCTTCCTCGCACAACCACTTCCCCACTCGTCGGAAACAGGGTCGATGCTGGAGGCCAGCAACGTCCTCATCTGGCGGCGACGGCGCCGGCACTCCCACCTCCTGGGCTTCCTGTTTCTTCCGCATCCAATGAAGGTGGGCTCTGTAATGTAGTCTAGGTGGCGGTGTCTTATCAATGAGCTTCCGAGCGGGATCGTCCGGAGGGAGTCGCGTCAGGCGTCCATACTCCCGGCCTGCCAGCTCCTTGGCCCGTACTGCCAGCTCCAGCTCTCCCTTCTCCAGCAGCCGCATGCTGGTACTATTCAATCTCTTTTGGACTCAGACGGGCGAGTTGGGAGAGCTCCATATTCAGCTCGTCGCGACTGTCATCATCAATCTGCATTCTGCAGCTTTTTTTATTCAGGCCTCCCTCCAACGGGCACTTGTGGCCCAATTACAGGAGGGCTCCTCCTCCTCCTGGCCCTTGTTCCCCCACCCCCCAGGCTACGGCTGAAGTGGGAGCCTACCCCACACCTGGGGCCGTATTCACGTCGACTTCGTAAGTCGATTTTCTTTCGTAAGTATAATTTGGTATTCACGTCGACACTTCTTAAGTTTTTATCAACGGAGCTCACGTGATTAAAAAAAATTTACTTAAGAAGTAGGTCAAACTTAAGAAAATTCTTACGAAAATGATCGACGTGAATACGGCCCCAGGTGACACAGCCGGGGACGACGCCCGCGGAACGGGCGGAACCGGGAATCGAACCCGAAACCCGGCACCACCCGCACCGCGGGTCGACGCCTTAACCGACTGCGCCACCAGGGCCGCTTTGTCTAAAACGGTTCCATGTGTGTTCCAAGAGCATCTGATGGTGTCGAGCCGCATGCATGTTGAAGGTGTCACCAAGCTTCAGCTTTATAGGGCAATCACTAATCCATGCTCCTTTGATACAAATGAATTTTCACTTGCAATTGCAATGTAGTCCCAAGAAAATGCACTTCACACAAAACAGGTTTATGAGGAGGCATTCCATTCGGTTGATTCGGTTTCAGATCATTTTTGTAGGTACTGTTTTGTTCCTGCATCGTCAATCGTGTGGTCTCGCTTCGATCTTGGATTGTTTGCCTCAAATATCTAAGGTATTTCACTTTCTTACAAAGGTGATTTTTGCCCTTTTTGATAAACCACAGCTTCTTATTTTCTTTCCCAGTCTTCATGACAAGCACAATTCTGGATCTTTTTTTTTATCGCTAGCCAAACGCACGTAACGACTAAGCTGAACCCACGCTGACTTTCCGTTATTCATAAGAATGGATATTTACTTGAAATAAATAAAAAATTATACAATTTGAACTATAAATAAGACCAAAGGAACGATATTTAGTCAATTCAACGACAACAGTATTTGGATTTAAATGCCGTCGCAGCGCCAGAACACGGTAAAAATGATATAAAAATATCCTATTTCACGTGATTCATCAATCTGCTGTACTACTTCATCCAATTTGACCAAATTTGTCAGGTGGTGACTTGGACTGTCACGTTCTCAATGTGACTCACATGTACCTCTGCAAAAACGATTTTAGCATGATCCGACTCAGAAATGTTCATAGATCATGTTTGATTATTTTCCCTTCCCTGATTTGCATACGACGGGAATAAAGTTAAATGCTTTAAGGACAAGACGACTTTTTCAACCCATTTATAGGTAAATGACGTCACGGTGACGTCATCGGCTGCCCGAACATTGCAAAACTTCAGCTTTCAATTACGCCATGTGTTTGTAGCACAGGGACAAAATCTCAAAACAATATCTCAAATATCAACGACGTTACACTGCAATTCATTAAAAAGGTACCATTCTCCAAAAAAGATGAACCACGCAGTTGCACGTGCTCTGGAAGTGGTGCAACATTAGTTAGAGGTGCGCACCGGTCAGATTCGGATTCAGCGGTCATTTTTGTCCCAGAAACCACCCTTTGCTAAGCTCTACCCAATTTTGCGTTATTCGGCCCAAAGTTGGGCCTCCTTCCCCTGACTATTATGCTTACTTGGCCGTCATCGGTTATTCTATCGATCTAATTTGGCTTTGATTTATCTCTGCTTCATAACTAACTAGCGGAATTAACTGAGCTTTATGCGATCGTTGATGCGCTCACCAAGAAAATTAATCTGTCAATGTGGCGAAGAGTATCGTTCGTCACCACTCGCGCATCTATATATCGCCAATTATCGCCGAGTGGTGCGATAAAAGGCGCTTGCTTGAAACGTTCATTTCAGTAAATAATGTGCGTAACAGTTAAAAAGAAAACGGTACGCATAACTTATAGTGATACAAATTAAAGGTAGTTTTGGGCTGGCCATGACTGCAGGTCATTTCTCCTTGCACTGTCATTAGAGTTGGTTATGCCTGTACATATGTAGTTAGGTTTCCTTATAAGCTCAGCCAAATTATATAATCCTTGTCCAAGCCGAGTTTATCGCAGTTCCTCAAGTTCATGATATGTTCGGGTTAAAGTAGCGTAGTCACGATATTAAGCCCGATGATATTTTCATCCTAAAGCCTAGCGCAATCCCATGCGTCGACGTCAATCGCAAACCATGGCGACATTCCACGCATGAACGCTCTGCGCTAAGTGCATCAGAGTAGCGCTCAACTCCTAATGACCTCAGTTCTCGTCTGTCGTGCGGGCGGCACTGGTCGGCCGGCCGTCTCCAGCACACCGGCACCCCACTGGGCCCATCTGCCGCAGCGCCGTCCTCAATGAACCCTCCCAGGCATCACCGGCCCGGCGGGGGTCGGTCCATTTGGCCGCACTGCTCCCTCTGAGAGGGCGGCGGGCCGTGGGCAGCCGCTCCATGAACAGCGGAGGCACTGCCGCTCTGAGCCGCCGAGATACTGCCGTTTTGAGCCGCCGAGATACTGCCGTTTTGAGCCGCTGAGATACTGCCGTTTTGAGCCGGGAGATACTGCCGCTGCCCGCTCTGAGCCGCCAAGATACTGCCGCTCTGAGCCAGGGGATACTGCTACTCTGAGTCAGGAGATGCTGCCGCTCTGAGCCACTGCGGTATATACCCGCTTTGAACCATGCTGAGATACTACCGCTCTGAGCCGCTAAGATACTGCCGCACTGAGCCGCAGAAATACTACCGCTCTGGTCCGCCGAGATACTGGCACTGTGAGCCGGGAGATAGTGCCGCTCTAACCCGGGAAATTCTGCCGCTCTGAGTCAGGAGATGCTGCCGCTCTGAGCCGGGAGATACTGTCGCTCTGAGCCGGGAGATACTGTCGCTCTGAGCCGCAGAAATACTACTACTCTGAGCCAGAAGATACTGCCGCTCTGAGCCGCCGAGATACTGCCACTGTGAGCCGGGAGATACTGCCGCTCTGAGCCAGGAGATGCTGACGCTCTGAGCCAGGAGATAGGTACTGCCCGTTCTGAGCCGGAAGATACTGCCGTTCTGAGCCGCTGAGATAATTAATGCTGTTCTGTGCCATGAGGTACTACCCGTTTTGAGCCCGCTGAGATACTGCCGTTGTGAGCCGTTGAGATACTGCCGCTCTGAGTCGCCGCACGCCTCTCAGTGGTTCTGATGTCGGTACGTGCATGTCCGGCCTAATGCACTCGGGACACATTGCGCCTCAAGGTGACGCGTGCCCAGTATACTGCAGTGCTGGTCAGCCCTCTGGGTAAGATTAGTAAGGATCTCCAGTGCGGGATATGAACTGTTACCCGAAGGCTGCGCGCAGAGGGCGACTTACTGCGGATATGTCTACCGGTGACACGTGCCGGCCGAGCCTCCACGTGCTCGTGCACGTGCCGCTCGTGGCTCCTCCAGTAGATGTTTTCCAGCGAGGCAGTGCACTGAAACAAATACAAGGCTGTATTAGAATGGGACCCCGGAGCATCGCTCACAGGCGTTTTCGAAGATTGTTTTGGAAGCTCAAGCTCCCTCTCTCATCCTATACACAACCATAGCAATCGAGATATCGATTTCTCAGGCGAGTACCTTGATTTTGAGTCTGCCGGTGGCGGCCAGGTGCCGGTCGAGCAGCGTCAGCCGTAGCTGTTTGGTGACCACCACCACACCGCCGGGACCGACCGAGCGGGGGAACTCTGTCACCAGGCCCGGGTGCGCCTGCGGGTCAGATGTAGGCAGAGTTAGTGTGGCGTCAGAGTGGGGTGATATGTGTAGGGTCGGTATGGGATGATAAAGGGTTAGCGCGGGTGATACAAGGTAATGCAAATCTCACAATCAAACGACAGTGAATTTAGTACCGGGTCATATCGGGTTGCTAAAGGGTCAGGATAGGTTGATTCTGGGTGGTTTGAGTCAGAGTGGAGCGGGGATATGGAAGGGAAGTCAGTACTATGTAGGGTGTGACGGCCAGCGTCGGCCGCGTGACCCATTCTGACCGCACGGGTCCTGGCCACGGCGTTTTATGCGATTCCTGGAAAACGTCGTCTTCCGTCACCGCCGGCGGCCGTCATTGATCATTTGTCGACGACTATAAAGGCGACATGGACCACAAACGAGCCGTCGTTTCCGCCGTGACCTGTCGGGGCCGGGGATGTCATAAATCACGACATGGTAATGAGCCGGTTCAGAAGTCAAACGAGTGCCCAAATCAGATCTGCGGCAGGGCGCGAGCAGAGTCTATCGCCCCAGAGGTTCTCTGGTGATATTCTGTCACGACGAGGGGAAAATTCACGAAAAATGAAGACTGATGAAATCTGTCATGTTTTTTTTTTTTTTTTTCATTGCACTTGGCATAGGTATGGCATGACTGAAATGATCAATGCAAAATGTGCGGTATCAGACAAACGGCTCAAACATTTTTTCTTCAAAATGATCATACCGTAGGTACATACATACATTTAGCCCAAACTAATAAGTCATCGTTTAATAGCCATGATTGGGCAGCATTTAGTTTCTTTGAATCGCCATGCATTAATAACCCTGGACTGTTGTTCTGGCCAAAGCTTAGCCCCGCAGCAACTCGATCTAATCACCAAAGTTGCGCTTATATCACTGAGGAGCTGTTCCAATTAGTCTTTGTCAGGCGGCGTCTTGCCAGCAAGATGGCCCGACAACCTCAAAACAATGCCCCGTTCTGATGTGATATGTAATAACACGTCAAGTGCGTGGCTAAATTCAGCCAACGGCCTTTCGGTGGCATCAGCTATGTATTTTTCCGAGACGGTGTTAAGGCTGCGATTTATAGCAGAACGATTCCGGTCACCAGTCGACCTGAAGTCCTTTAGCAGCTATTTCTGGGGCCAGGCTATGGCAACATTGTATTTATTTGCTGTATAGGAACATAACTGACTAGAAGTAATGGTAACAATCACAAGCACCAATTTAAATTCTTGCGGTGGGATATGTTAAAACGCCAATGACCAGCGCATGTAGATGTCATGTCACTTAAACCGCGTTCTGCATGTAAGACATATATTCATTTTGTTGTAATCTTGTTCAATTACTATCAGTAGGTATGCGCTTGGTCAACGCATGCCGCATCAAATGCATTTCTCAATAAAGCTTGTGAATACTTGACAATAGAATAGAGCCTAAGAAAGCAGTGTAAGTATAAGAACCTGCAAGGCTTTTTAACGTTCAGAGAAATAGAGCTTCTGTTCATCTTGCGCGGTTCAACGCATGGCCATTGCACAGATTTCAGAGAGCCCATGTTTAACGGCCATTAGTTTCCATTAGACCATAACCGTTTTATGGCCGGGCCCAGGGGAGTGGTCCGCTTGGGATTATCATCGCTGGACGACGGCTCACGTAGCTGGCCGGCGGAGGAGACCACCGGGCGGGCAGAGTCGGCCGCGAGCTGCCGAGGAACGAGCGAGGGACCCCGGATAGAGCGAGGGCTCCCCGGACCGAGGCGGCAGCAATGCAGTGTTATGACGCCCTCCGTCAAGGGGCGGCGGCACAGAAAATAACGACAGGGTTTGGGCTGTTCGCATCAAATTGGTGTTGATTCCGAAGGCAATTGTCAGGACTCCGATGGTTGGGCAGTGAATAATTAAGAAATCTCCTGCATTCAGTGACAAGTGATAAGTGACTGTCTTGCCGGGGAGGTGTCCCCCAACTCTTCCCGGGGCCGGGACGGCACTAACTTGAGAGCATCGTCCCGTCCCGGTCTGGCCGCATGGGCCCAGAAATCATCGTCATGCCATCATTCTATCACTACCCTGCTCCTATTAACATGGTGAATGTGTAATCAATAAACTTAAAAATAGAATAAAAAAGGATTAGTGACTACCAACTGCGTCCACTCTGAGACCTGTGAATAAGGACCGGCCCAGCTTGGGAGGCAAGCGGCGAGAAATACGATAAGAAACGACGGTCAAGGTTCAAAAGGCCAACTGTCCAAGTGCGATATCCGAATACAAATTCGTCAATCTGGGACTCGTAGATTGTGGTCACTCTCCTTGAAACTTCGGGATGGCTAAGCTATGACTAATTGATATTGTCAGGACTTGACGATTTCTGGGAGATCCACTGAGGTCTAACTGGGCTAAATCTTAGGAGCCAAGCACAAGTATGTGAAGTTTCTGACACCACCCATGATTTTTGTTTTGAAGATCGCAGACTTACCTTGCCGCAGGAGACATATACCAAGCTGTATGAAGTGGTCAGACGTTCATACTTTCCGGAACTTAGGTAGTAGGTATCAACAAACAAATACAAAATAAGCGTGCCGTCACTGACCCGCTCTCCCTCGATGTACCAGACCAAGATACCTATAAGAAACAGGTAGATCCGATGTTTGAAAGTAAAGCCCCAGTCACAAATTTGACGCACCTGTGACATTTCCTGACACCCACGTGACTATTGTATTAACTTTTGTGTTTTGCGATGTTTTGACCTTATTTAAAGTACTGAAAGCTCAAAATGTATGATTAATGTTGTTTAAAGCAGCATTTTAATAATTATGTTTGTAAATTATCGATAAGCTGCTTATAGCAGGTCACGTGATTGCTACCAGATTATGTGCTCAGAAAGCATCTTTTCAACTTACGGTTTGAGGCACACGATGAAATGCTGAATCTATTGATGCCAAAATTTGTTCGTTTTTTGCATTTTTAGACTAGTATATCCTGGCTCAAACTTTGACCAATTTGTGTGTAAACCCTATGGTGAAGGGAAAACTTCACGCCCAGCAGGCGTCATTACAGTGCTACCAAATCGTGTTTGGTGGGGGTCGTACCAGACCACGTGGTAGTAGTAAGTATCACTCCCGCTCTCCCTCGATGTACGGTCCACAGCATAAGTAATGTGCGGTTTCAGTCCTGGGAATGTTATGCTTCTGAAGCTTGGGAATGATTAGCCAGACCACAATGAAACTTTGAATGTTGCTAACCTGTATCGTTGTATGCAGCTGCAACTTTATCTATTGACGTCTTCTTTTCGATCACACCACATTAAAAAAATTGGCAGTCAAAGCCATCCGTTGAGATTGGTAAAACCGCACATTACTTTAGCGGTGGGCTGTACCTACCAGGTGGTAGTTATCACTGACCCGCTCTCCCTCGATGTACCAGGTGAGCTGCGGCGGCGGTACGGTGCCCGGGGAGGTGCAGTTGAGCTGGATCACGTCCCCGATCCGGTACCGCTCCTGGCCGCCGCTGATGATCGGACCGTGCGTCGGCAGATCTGGCCGCGGAGGAACACCAGTCAACACAGGCTCGATGACGGTGAATTATGGCGCCGCCTATGCCTGTATGGCCAGCAAGCGGGATTTATGGCGCTGCATATCACTGGGAATCGGGTAGGAGGCGCAGTAGTCGGGCTATTTGCCCGATATGGGGGAAATTGGCTGCAAGGCATCGCCTTCGAAGGCGATCGCGAGGAAATAACAGCATTCAGGCATACACAACACATCGCCGGGGCGTCGGTTGCATCCTGGGCTTTTGGTCTCTCTCAGCTATCTGCCGCAAGCGTTAACATGCCTGCCAAGTTCCCAAATCATATCTGCATAACTTTTAACAAGTTCTCATCAGGAATTATGGAAATTAATACACCAACTATGGGCGATTTCGCGAAGGCGTATCGGCAAAGTTGGCCCGCTTTGTGGCCGGTTGATGCGACGATCAGGCTCGGTTCGGTCCTTTGCCGGCGGCGGCGACCGGCGCGGCGCTCACTCCCAAGTTGGTTCATCTGAAAACGGCGCCGGGCGCCGGCCGTCTCCACTGTCCGACGGGGGGGGGGGGGCAGGGGGGGGGGGCAGTAGTAACGATACGGACGACGGAGACGGACAAAGGGCGGTCGGCTAGGACGGTGTGCGCCGACCGTATCGGACGGACAGGCCAGTGTGTCACCGCGCCGCGTTGGACGGTCAGGGCAGTCTGACTCCGAGCCGTGTCGCCTGGTAAGGGGACGCTGCCACGCTGCCACACAGGACAGTGCGGCGCCGTGTCGGCCAGTTAGAGCAGCATGGCGCCGTGTCCCCGTGTCGCTCAGTTAGGGCTAAGTGTGGCGCCGCGCCGCGTCGGCCGGTTAGGGCACTAGGGCAATGTCACACCGCCCTGTGTCGGCTTGCCGTCCCGCGTCCTTCCCGTCACCGCCAGTCCCCTGGCTCGTCTCCGCGGCGCGCCAGTGCGTCTCGACGGCCGCCTGTGCGCCATTGATCGCCGCGGGGGCCGCGCCGGGTCATGGTCCGCCACGCAGGTGATGGTCGCCCGAATGGCTAATGTAGGAAGATGACCGGGCCTCTCATGATATGAAGGGTTTTATGGTCATCCATGGAGGCTGATGGCGGCCTGCGTGTCTGCTTCCATCAGAATATGTGCTTATTATATGCGCTGTAATGTGGAAAATGCATGATACACTGAGGACCCTTGTCATTTAAGGAACTTGAGGAAATAGTGACTGGTCTACAGTAATGCAGCACAAAGAACAAAACACCTGGTTTTGAATGCCACACAATGACTGGTGTAATGCCCTTTTTATTCTAAATGCAGCCTCCGGTCTGATCTAAAAAAGCACATGTTTACAGTTCGAGGAGCTACCAGCTTAGAAGAATAAAAAATTTCCTCCTCTCCTAAAACGGTTGTATCTGGACGATAAACTGTGCGGTCGACTGAGCGCCTATAACACAGGCCTAGTTCAGACGTGGACAGCCGCTGTCCTCAGCAGGCTGGCCGGAGCGCCTGTAAATTTGGTGTTCAGCCACGCCACTGACCACGTCTGTCCGTATACACCACTCAGAGCGGCCGGCATAGTAATTTCGGCCGTATTTACGGCGAAGGGTGTGACAATTTCCACCGGCAGTAAATTCTGTCAATGTCCCAGAGACAAGTTACTGCCTTTGATAATGCGGAAATAACGAGAGCCGTTTTGTTCAAAGTACGCTCCTGGTTGGTGTTTTATTGAAGTGTAAATTTAAAATGCAGTTGAGAGTGCATAAATACTTTCAAAAAGTGAATAACTCTTTTATATACATATTTTAATTCCTACATTGGAGGAACCGCTTACACAAACAAGTAAATAAACGATACAGATGAACAGCTTTCAGTTGCTGACACCATCTCAGGCATCTCAACAAGTTCAATGCTTCCTTTTACTTTAAAGTTTGATACACGACTCGGCGCATCTATTGACAAACGTAATTACTGCAGCCGTCTGCACTGTATATAGTTACTTTCAGCGGTGGCAAAGTTACCTTTCTATGCAGTGTATGCACACTCTCACAAGTCTTCACCACAGATATCACCGATAAGCACGGCAACAGGACAGAAATCAACGGCGGCAACAGTGAACCCTCTCCATCTCCCCCTCTGGGCACCCACTGACGACCTGCAGCACTCCGTGCCGCCCGGTACTAACTGACGACCTGTACCACCCGGTACTCACAGACGACCTGCAGCATCCCTCCCCACTACTCACAGATGACCTGCAGCAGCCCGTGCCGCCCGGTACTAACTGATGACCTGCAGCATCCCGTGCCGCCCGGTATTAACTGCAGCACCCCGTGCCGCCCGCTACTCACAGATGACCTGCAGCTTCCCGTGCCGCCCGGTACTAACTGCAGCACCCCGTGCCGCCCGGTACTCACTGACGACCTGCAGCATTCCGTGTCGTGTGACCGTGTTGAAGAGCGGTGCCTCCGTGGAGATCTCACACCGGTACACTCCGGACGACTCTGGCCGCATGTGTCGCAGCAGCACAGTGCTGGCGTTACTGGCCGTCACCTGGATGGAGGGGGTAGACGGAGGGAGGGAGGGGCAGGTCAGCGGAGAGCAGGCGGAGGGGGGGGGCGGGTCAGCGGAGAGCAGGCGGAGGGGGGCAGGTCAGCGGAGAGCAGACGGAGGGGGGGGGGGGTCGGAAAGACGGGACAGAGACGGAGGGAGGGACGGGTCAGTAGGGACGAGAGGGAGGCGGAGGGACGGGTCAATGGAACGAGAGGGAGGCGGAGGGACGGATCAGTGGGGGATTCCACTGGGAATTCCACTGTTCCAACGTTAATCACAACCAACGGATTCATTCAAAAGCAAAGTTTTAAGAGCTGTCGGTCTGGTATTTTCTCAACTGCCAAAGCGTTTGCACTGTCTCCGCGGTGACAGCTTATGACCTGTGGGACGGCTCGCGCCGTTCAGATTTGACGAGCGTTTCGTTGTTGGGAAGCACACGGCCGGGAGAGGTTGAATGGACGTGTCAGCCGGCCGACAGAAGGGGCAATTCCATATGACGGCGCTCTCAGGGCGGCGCTGTTACACGTCCGGCACAATGGGCGCAGCACCGGCGCCAATGACTGATGGCACAGTTATTGCATTGCCGTGTAGGTGTTATCGATCGTGAACTGCTGAGCCGCTGCCGGGAAGTCGGTGTACCACTGGCGATGCCCCCCCCCTCCTCCCCCCGCCGCTGTTTAATGCAACAGATCATGGTGCGGAAGGAATCGCAATGATAAATGATATCGTATACGTTACACTCTTGGTAATGTTGCGCCATGGGTAGGTATAGCTGAATTCCAGAGAGCTTGGCTATCATGCATTTTAGATAAACTACACAGCCATCAATGAAAAATGTTGCCGCCCATTTGTTCGTGCTCTTAGCTCAGCGATTTTCTCTGCAATGTGCCTGCAGAGCATTGCAAATCCAATATCCGTGCGCTGGTGGTCCCAGAGGTCAGCGATGCCGGTGTGCTTCCCGGTTGCATGAGATGAACGACCTATAAGTCATGCCAGCCAGGACTTTCCGGTCCAAAGCTCGGCAATGTTGCAGGCGGGGGCGCATTGTATTACAGCGGTGCAACCAAGCAGCAAACATATGATGCCACGGTACACTACTCCCACGGACTCCAATGGCTAATCATCATTTCACACAGTGATAATGGAATTCCAGCCCTATCTTAAAATAGTGATCATACCTAATCTCATTCCATGGAATATGCGTGCATATGACTTACACGCACTCTATGCATACAATGCTCACATGTAGTTAATTAATTCACACACAGCACCACATATGGCGCATTTGACAGTTTGGCAGCTCGGCACTCCGACACCAGGCTGATGTTACGGATATGCTGGCTCAGACGACATCACGGACCATCTCAGACCCCATCATAGACCAGCTCAGACCACAGAGGACCATCTCAGACCACCGCAGACCATCTCAGACCACCGGGGACCATCACAGACCACCGGGGACCATCTCCGACCACCGGGGACCATCTCAGACCACCGGGGACCATCTCCGACCACCGGGGACCATCTCCGACCACCGGGGACCATCTCCGACCACTATAGACCAGCTCTGCACCGCAGACCAGCTCAGACCATCACGGATCATCTCAGACGACAGTGGATCGGCTCAGGCGAGTGTGCCACCGCCGCTTCGGATCAGCAGAGCCGCCGCTGGATGATCAGAGACGCCGCTGGATCAGCAGAGACGCCGCTGGAGCTGCAGAGACGCCGTGCAGTCCACTCAGGCGCTGGCGCTGCCGCCGTGGATCAGCAGAGACGCGCCGCTGACGAGCGAGGAGCTGTCGCTGAGCAGAAACAGGATCGGGTTCACCACGTCCTCGGTCTCGGCGAAGCGGCCCAGCGGGACGGCCTTCTGCAGGGCGGCCGCCCTCTCCGGGTCCTGCCACATCCTCTCCGTCATGTCCGTCCTGACCACGCCCGGGTTGACGGTGTTGACCCGGATCCCCTTGGGTCCCAGCTCGAGCGCCATGACGCGCGACAGGTGGTCGAGCGCCGCCTTGGAGGCGCAGTACACCGCCGTCCCCTTCACCATTGTCGACAGAATCGACGAGACGTTGACGATGACGCCGCCCTTGCCGCGCTCAGCCATGCCGCGGCCCACCACCTGCGACACGTTGATGACCGCCTTCAGGTTGACGCCGAACGTCTGGTCGATCTGCGACTCAGTGATCTCCATGAACGGCGCGTGCTTCACGATCCCGGCGTTGTTGACCAGACAGTCGACGGGCTCCAGAGGCTCGAGCGCCTTACGCGTCGCCTCCCAGTCGCCGAGGTCGCAGGCCACCGTCTCCACCGAGGGACACTCGGCCTTCAGTGTGTCCAGGTGCTGCTGGGTGCGCGAGACGGCGATCACGTGCGCTCCGCAGGCGGCGGCGCGGATCGCCAGGGCCCTGCCGATCCCGCGGCCGGCGCCCGTCACCAGCACGCGCTTCCCGGACAGCGGGACGTCCATGGCTGTGGACACGAGCAGAGATGGCCGTCATATGTCACACCTCCGCTTCGTTTGGACTAACTTCAACCGTTCAATATCACGCTCATATTTTCCCGCACCGTATTCCAGGACCCGGTAACCCGTAAGGGGTAGGGGAGTTCGTTTCCCACCCACGGAGATCTTGGAAGGTTACCGACCGATTTTCAAAATTGAAACGGCGTTCGATAGCCCTACCGGGGAACTACAATGTGATCCAATTTCATTGAACTGGGTGCAACCGATGACGTTACAGGTAGGTTAACTATAAATAACGGATTCTTGGAGTGAAAGTTGCGTCTAAATAAAATGTAAGGAATTAGAAAGTACTTGCTTGGAAACAGCTTAGCTGCTATTTTCTACCCTGTTGTACCTATCTACAATCCATCCCACAGTTTTGCGGTTATTAAGTATTTACAGTTGCACAACAGTTTGGTGGAAAATACGAGGTAAGAATCTAGCGCATCAGTGAACAGCATAACAGCGAACTCTGTCACTATGCTGCGGCAGAGAGGTTTAATGCTTACCTTTCGTTGTTCCGTCTCTGCTGGGACTGCTGCTACTCTTGCTCCTCACACACCACGTGCGCCAGTCACCGCGATAGCAGCAGCAGTGAGACCGCCGGCCGGCCGGCCGCCGCGCCGGACACGAAAAACGCACAGTCACCCTCCCTCTCGGCTTTCGGCACGATAGTGACTCACCGGTGACCTTGACTCGAGTGAAAAAAGCATCGCAGCGGCACAGCCAGGACATCACCTGCTTGGTATTTCGCGCACAACAGCTGGCACTGCTGGTCGTCCTTCAATTGACTAGTTATTGTTCTTTCTTTTTTGTTGCTCTGCTATTGAAGATGTGAAGTGATATCTTCCTTGTCGTGTGTGCTGCTTGAATATGCTTAAAAACTGGTGTTCACGTTGCTGATGAAATGACTCTATAGACATGTCGACGTTTTAGTTTTCGTTTAGTTTTGTTTTTGTCTTGAGTTGTATAAGGATGGTTGGCTTCAGCGGTGAAAAGGCATCCGTTTCTTTATCTTGCGTTATTGTCTTTCAGTCTTACGTAAGTCCTTCTTGGACTTCTGTCACCGACGTGTTTCGTAAATATGTGTACACATATAAGATGAGTTGCAGAAGTAAAGTGGTGACGTCCGTCTTTGAACTGTCGTATCAACAGAGTTAGCGAACGACACACTCAGGTATACGTCAGCGTGATGTGTAAGATATTGAACCGCCAAGCTTTGGTATCGGGATACCCTTTGTACTGACTGTTGTTCTAGAGCAAAAAGTGATTTATCTGTGGTCAGTAACAGTGTCAGATCAAAATGGCAGCTGTAAGGCGGCTATAGGGCGAATCCCCCCCCCCCCCCTCCACACACTCGCACGCGCATGCATGCACAACCAGGGCTAATATTACACTAATCCGATACATAAGTTATTGAAGCTGTCAGATCGGCTTAAGTATAAAAACGTGAATATAAGAAGATCAGTACATGATTCTAACTCATCTGACATAGGTACCTTTCTTTATAGGCAGGGGCGGCGCCACGGGTTTTCGATAGGGGGGACGGGGACGGGGGCTTGCCTGACCGAAAATCCCAAAAGTAGATGCCTACTGATCGTATATGCAAAAAAAAAAAACGAGGCACGTAACGCCGCGAAACTTAGCAGAGCCCAAAACACATCGAATGGTGCATCCCGTTTCCAAACTTATCCTAGGACACCTAAGATCGATCACCTTTTCAAGCATCCTTGCCTCTAAATCAAAATTTGCAGTCTTGCCAACTCAAAGCTGGTTTCCTACAAGCTGCGAATTGCTTAGGTATGAGTAGCAGTGCCAACTATTCTTACGTTTCGTACTTTCAAATTTTCGATCTTACGTCTGGTCAGCTTCATGGCTTCACCATCATATAGTCATGGAGGAAAAGTGGGAATGTCTTCTGCTCTGACAAGTGTGCCAAAACTGCAATATAATTTCAAAATCATGACATCACCACCTGATCCATATGCAACGGGCAGGGTGCAGCTAATGGCTGGCCGTCAGTGGTCATGTCATCGGTGGTCACTCAAAAGGTCATGCTAGGTCATGGAAGGTCACCAGCCGTTATTTGATCACACTTTCTGATGGATTTTACTTACCAAGAGAGCTTCGCGGGAAAAACGAGCGCATGCACCGTTGAAAAAAAATGAGTGAAAGGGTCTCAGGTCCGGCAACCTCTGCAGGTGAAATGCCCCAGGGTAGGATTCCGGTCCTTGTTGATTAACTTCGTCAAAAATGGCAGAAGAGCTGTGATGTCGGCACCATCGTGTTCGTCATGATCGAGCTGGCACGACCTGCATCGTTCTCATATTCACCCTCCAATCGTAACAACTACAGCAGGGATTGGGAAATGGCGGGGCACCCCCTTTGGGAGGTAAAGAAGGTCTCTGGAAACCTCATCCCTCATCTCTTTAGCATTAGTGGCTCTCCTTATGGAACAGGTTTCTTGACTGGTCTGTTTCACCCCAGAATTCAAAGACTAATCAAAGTAAAACCGAGCGCACCACAGTGAGCACAATTTGATAAGCTGGTGTATCTCAATTTTCATGTAGAACCTTTCACGTATCACGTACCTAACACCCTTTCGTGCACTCATGCAAAAGCAACTGCCATGTTTCAACAGCTGGTAATGACATTTTCACAGCCGCTGACGTAAGAAGGGGGGGGGGCTCGATTAGACCCCCAGCCGTTCGGCCGCCGACCGAACTTAGTTTTGAAGAAAAAAAACGAGTGCTATCGAACCCCTTGACGAGAGGGAGCCGATGCTACCCAATTATAAGGTCTTGGGCTAGTGCGTGCTTTTGGTCCTGCCTGTGATCTATCCGAACACTTCTCCCCACAAGTGCTGGGGTTAAATGGCATAGATTTGAAATGGTTCCTGTGGTAGAACTGCCATGCTTGAATTTGACTAATTTATAGGAATGGAAAGTATCCATATAGTAACGGAAATCTATGGAATTTCAGTAAACTTGGTTTTGTCGGCAATGGGGTCTGGCAGTGGGGTGGGGAGGTAATAACCCTGCCTGGCGCCCCAAAAAGGGGGGCGATCCCTGAGGCCAGGGCTGCGGAGTCGATGGATTTTCGGCGACTCCGACTCCGACTCCGGCTTTCAAAAACCAGCTCCGACTCCGACTCCGACTCCGGGCAGAATTGTCGACTCCGACCGACTCCAACTCCCGACTCCGACTCCGCAGACCTAGCAGGGCTGCGGAGTCGACAGATTTTCGGTGACTCCGACTCCGACTCCGGCTCGGGTTTCTAAAATCGACTCCAACTCCGACTCCGACTCCGGTCACAACTGTCGACTCCGACCGACTCCGACTACGACTCCGACTCCGCAGCCCTGCCTGAGGCACTGCCGATCACCTTATAACTACAGGCATCACAGCTCCACACCTTTTGCAGATGGCCAGGACCCCCTGCGATACATCCCAACAGCAATCTTTATTCAAAACCTGCCTTGATTGACTAACGATGCATTAACCCGCGCACCGACGGGGGGGGCGGATATCCGCCCCCCCCCCTGAGGTTTTTCGCGAATAGCGGGAAAACCGCGGCGCGTAGCGCCGCGAAATTTGGTATGACTATACCTTCATCAATTTTACACATGGTGTGCAAGTTTGAACCTCCTACCTTTTAAGGTCAGGTCACCAGGTCACTTTGAATGACCCAACCTCAAGTCACTTTTTTGCAACTTTGTCACCGTGCCAGAGCTACAGTAGATGTCGGAGGCCTTTGAAAGTCGCAGGACATTATTAGGTCATTAGTAGCTACAATTTGTATATCTCGGAATTTTGATATCGGTGACCTAAGGTCAGGTCAATTTCGCGACCTCCCCATTATAAGTCAATGGGGGAAAAATCAACTCCCTGTTTTTACCACTAAAACGGGTCGGAATGGCCCCATATACCATACATGACTTCATATACGATCACCCTTCACTACATTGAGGTCCGTTTTGCTGTTGGGCAGCTGTGAGGTCATGTGACGTCATCAAAGGTCACCAGCGGTTTTTTGCCAATAACTCCGTACAGGAACAAGATACAGCCGCGCGGATGGTCTCATTGTGTTCAGCTCGTCAAGACGCATCGAATGATATACATGATGACCTCGAGGTCACGTGACCTGAGGTCAACCTTTGACCTTGACCTTTCAAGGTCAACATATATATCATTCGATGCGGATTGACAAGAGGATCACGATGATGCCCTTAGTTTGTTCCTATCTTGACTAATTCGAAAGTTATTCGAGAAAAAACTCTCTCCATATCTAGCGCCGCCATTTTGACTTTTTCGACCCCTGTGACGTCATCTTTGACCTGACCTGAAAATGACCTTAGTAAAAATTGTAGATCTTGACCGTGCGTATCCGATGCCGTTTACCGCTTGCCGCTATCTTGCTTCGTTCTCGAGATCTCAGGGGGGGGGGGCGGTCATCCGCCCCCCCCCCGTCGGTGCGAAGTTGGCGCAGACCCCCGTCGGTGCGCGGGTTAAATGCGACGGATAGGATAACTCTACAATGCATTATTATCAACTATTGAATGGGCCTCGCCGATAGGGGGGCACTGTACCCCCTAACTTTCGATAGCGGGGGACCTGTCCCCCCCGTCCCCCCCCCCCCCCCGGTGGCGCCGCCCATGTTTATAGGTATCTCATGTGGCCGGCGCGTATACGCGCGTACTCACATCGACGTGTATGTGCGGCTGGTGGAAGACCTGGGCGGCCGGTACCTCGCCCGGGTTGTACCGGTAAAACTCGTGGCCGTCCCGGTACCAGTTGACCGCGTACAGCCGCTCGCGCCAGTCCAGCACCACGTGGCACGAGAGCGGCACGTGCTGGCCGGCCGCCACGTAGCGCGGGATCTCCGAGCGCAGCAGACGGATTCCGAGACTGCCTGCGGCGGGAAGGGAGGGGGGGTGCGGGTCACAGAGGCCGCCAAAGGGCCGGCGCTAGAGCAGTCCAAACTTTAATCTCCCAGATACGAGACCGATGTGAATGTGCATCAACTGGAGTAACGATCAAAGACTTGGCTCGTTCGTAGCTCAAATTTGACATTAGGCAAACGGTGTAGCCTATAGGGGAAGTTGGGGGAACGCCGAAGACTTTTTTTCTGACGCCCGTAGCACGCAAGGTAGACAACATACGCTATTCTTGTTGGCGTCATTCGAGAGGCCAGTCTTTTGCCTTTCAAACATACCAGGCGCATTTGATGAATTCGCATACCGTTAAGCGCACAAACTAAAAATATCAAAGAAGTGACTTTTTCGGCGTTGCCTCGGACTGCGGGGAAAGCCGAAAATGGGAGAAATGATCTACGGGGAATGCCGACATTGATGTTTTGCCATTTTATCTCAAACTTTATCCAGAATTCATCAAAGCTGACACACGTTTCAAGAGCTTGAGGACGCGGTGCACACTGGAAGTTATAATTGTGTGATATAATAAGAAAATGCCAGGTAAATCATTCCTCATAGGTAACAGGCCGTTGTGTCGGTTGAAAGTGCAATTTGTGTGACTAAAAATACGCGTTGCTATTCTACAGCAGTAAAGTCCACGTAGCGTGCTTTTAACACGTGCGTAATCGCACGTTTTCGGCATTACCCCAGCCAGCCATACTTTCATTTGCAGGCCCATAACTTTTCAACGTGCTGTATAAATTTCAGATAGGCAGCACACTTATGCAAAGACATGCTAAAGATTACTTGACCGAATTGGCCAGACAAACGGTAGCATAATGAGTAAAAAATGCAGCTTCAAAGGCGCATGAAGTACAAGGGAGACGTACCTTGAAAACGCTCTTGGCGCCCTCACAGTCGAAGTATTCCGAATGACGACTCGTAACAAACATGCGATAATTGTAGTCACTTAAGCTTCAGAGCATCACTGACAGGTGGCATCCATGTCTTACGGTTTTCGAAATATCTCGAATTTCGGCTTTGCCCCAACTCCGGCATTGCCCCAACTTCCCCTAGAGGGCAAAATCTCCAAATTGACGGTTCTTGCGGTAACTACTTTTCTATGATAACTTTTAAATCCAAAACTTTCAGGACATCGATGTCACTGGCATCGTCTTCCTCTCCTAAGAACGCAACGGCGGCATTATAAGTTCACTTTAATGAGCGCGGGTATAATGCTTCCAAAACGAAGCTGCAACGAAGAAGACTTCTTGAAGGGGAATGCTTGTCATTTAAGAAAGGCAACGTGTGACAAATCATATGTGCGCATGAAATAAGTTCAGGTGATCGAAAGGATTTTTGTGTGATTTCTTACTAAGTGTTTTTGCCACAAATTATGGGGGGTATGTTTTTTGCCCTGTGAGCTTTTCAGGGGCGACAGCCCCCGATACCCCTTCCCCCTGAATCCGCCGCCGTTGCCTGAGGCGTGACTTCCCGGGATGTCTGAAGCCGGCACGGCCTCGTGGCGAATCCGATACGCCACGTAATTTCCGGTCCATTTCACAAGTCGGTCTGCATTAAAGTACACTGTCAGTCGTTAGAGGGCATTCTTCCCATCTGAAGTCGGTTAAGCCACAAATCACTCCAGACATCTCTCTGTAATTTGAAACAAATGGGGCCGAAAAAGCGGACCAGTTCCACCGAGTGGCGGCCATTCACTGCGGGACAATGTCTCATCACGGAGCAGGTGTAGTTTAAATTTCAGTAATACATTTCCGGTGTTTATAATGTTTTGTTCGTTTAACTTTTCAACTAACTACCTTTGGAAAACGCATTGCATCATAAGTTTAACCCTCGCATGTGTGCGGCGTTTGCCAGCTTCTAATGTGTAGGGGGGGGGGGGGGGTCGGTTGGACCCCCCCCTTGCCGTTTGGCCCCTGATCGAGTTAGAGCTTCGCGGAAAAAACGAGCGTGTTTCCCGTGACGAGAGGAAGCCGATGATACCCAATTTTAAGGTCCTAGAACATTGGTTGACCTTCCAGGTCAGGTCAATGACCCAAAGTCGGGAAAATCGGGACCTGTTAGAAAGTCGTAAAGTGTGGCTGCTAAGGGGTTTTTCGGGGTGCTGATCACGAATATCGTGTTAGTTTTGATCACAGATGATGTCTTGAAGCATTTAGACCAGGTCGGGTCAGGTCAGGTCAGGTCAACCAGTAGGCGTCGTGACGGGTATTCGTAGTACGTGTCAACCGCCTCTGACAGCTTCGTAACATGTTACGAAGGCACCAAAACTACTTCGTAAATGTTCAAATGGTTGCTAAATTCGAATTCATCTCCAAAAACTAGCCTAGAAACATGTAAAACTCGAAAAAGTGACCCGAGGTCACCCGAGGTCACCAAAGGTCAATGACCTGACCTGACCTTCAGGTGACCTTGACACACACGGGAGTAACATCAAATCACATGTTGGAACGTTTGAAACCACGAAAAGCTTGCAAACACGCGGCTAGTGCGAGCCGACATACGCGAAATCGCGATTCCGGCCAAACATGGTCTCGGAAAAGAGGTCACAGGTCAAAGGTCATTTGGGTCAGGGTCATGAAATTTTCAGGGTAGTTGTAAAATTGATCAATGCGAGGGTACTGAAAGTTTCGTCGCGATCGGCCGCTTTTTACGCGAGTTATTCGCGAAAAACCATGGGGGGGGGTCCATCCGACCCCCCCCCCCCCTACACATGCGAGGGTTAAAATCTTACTATATCCCAAATACAGTGAGACTTAATGACAATTTTTTCCTAATTTGAAATCAGATATGCATTCAACTTGACAAAATGGCTAAATGTCAGGGAGAAGCAGACATTTCTGCTAAGAGGCATTCGAGCCCACCGTCAAGTGGCGTAATTGGCTGCACAATTGAAACGAAATTAGAAAATGGACGATAAGAAAAGTGGTGAGACGAACTCCGAATCTAACTCAGTAATTGGCTACCTGGTCCTAACGCGACATGACATATCCTCTCCCATTCAGCTCCTGACGTCTGGAGTGAGCTCCAACAGCTCTCGAGCCCGGAGCAGTTCCTGGCAGAGCCAAATGGCCCGTCCTGATTTGCTGGTGATGAGACCCGAGGTCTGACGTCTTGCACGGCCCAGTCGTCGGGTCGTTGCCCTCTGTTGACTCGCTGCGGCTATACCAGGGGTCTGTGTCCGTGCCCCATCTGGTTCCGGGACACGGCTCGGTGGGCGCGACACTCCCATGGCGGGCCGGACCCCCACCGGGGACCTCAGCGGACCCACACCGGGGACCCCAGCGGGCCCGGCGGAGCAAAACACCCTGTACCAGCTGCCACGCCACAGGACGGAACAGCGCAGACAGCGACAGCGGAACTATCACTAATGCAATCTATATTGACCGCTTGATTTGATCTCGAGAAGTGTTTCTGGTCAGGAAATGCTGCTTCGTTCTGAACAAGGTCTTCGAGCTTCGTGTGTAATGCTGAAAGTGATCAAATTATGTAAGCAAGCACACGTTTTAAAACCCATTTAATATCAAAACGCAGCTCTTGCTCGCTAATCTTATTTTATGCCTTTATTTACATACATGGGTGTCATGTTCAACGCGTTGAAGAGATCATTTGAGGTATCTTTTTGAAAATAAACAGATGCATTACGCCAGGATAAGGAATTGGTGCACGTATTGCATAAACAAAGTCGATCACGCTTGAAATAAATATCTTTTGATTTGATTGAAACAAACCATAAAAGATCGTTAACAATATATGGGTAAATGGTGTAGTTACCTACACACACAGGCCCTAGATAGATAGATAACATACTATCGATGTTTTGTGTTATTTATACATTTGTATTTAAGCAAAAATATGATTTACATCTCGTATATATCCCGGTTGTAAAGTTTTCATAATGGTGTAAGCTGGCTGGTTTAGAGTTCAAATATCGTCGTATTTTGCATGATTATTTGATTTTTTTAATAATAGGTATACCTATACAGTTTTTTCTGAAAATTAAGCAGTGTTAAATCGAGCCAAAACTTGATCAACACCTGCTTTCGATTTTTCTTTTATTCGGGAAAACCATACTGGTGAAGTCGTCGTCCTCGGAGCCGTGCACACAGTGGGCCGAGTCCATTTGTGATCAGCCAGCGGGCTGTTGCCCGATCTCGGCTCACTTTGTTTTGCGTGACCTGTCTTTGGTCGGCAGATCTCGCATGACCAATAGGCGACTGTTGACATTGGCGTCAGTTTAAATTGTGAGGGACAACGAAGCGCCTCGACTTGAGACGGAGTGCAGCTTGCGACCTGTAGGCATTGCAAAGGAAAGAGATAGGCATATATCTAAAATGCTGAAAACTCTGACTGAGGTTAATCATAATAAGAATTGGAATAGTAGCCATTAGCCAATAACCTAATTGGTCACTATTGCAATTCTGAAATAGGTAATAGGTCCACAAGTCCTACATTTCATTTTTGCAGCATTTGATACAGACTCAATTTATATCAAGAGCAAACTATCAAAGGCGTTAAGGTAAGTGATTTTATTACCTGGCCCAAGTTTGAGCTTAAAATTGGAATATTTAGAAATGAAAATAAAAAAAAATAAAAAAATAAGTACCATACATAGGCATAACATATTATCCCTGCTAAATCACACCCCAGTGAGTGTCTCATTCGTTGCGAACGTTTAACGTATAAGGAATTTAAACTAACATGTATTGACCCTAAACTAACTGTATTGACCCTAGGTAAGTAGGTATTTTATTGTTATGTACGTACTTAACTCATATAAGTTCAGTTCAATTGATATGCTAATATATCTAAAAAAAAACATTCACGTGTTTCGTTATAATAGCTCTGCAAACATTGCAAGTAATGAAGTTCTAGGATCGGCACTAAGTGGGAATGTCCGATGGTTTGACAAAATTGAAAAGTAAATGACATCCTAAAACGCAAGCTGAGCTAGTCAAACTACGACATAAGGTTAAAT